CTCTGCCCTTCTCATGTCAGTTTATTTGAGAGGGATCACCCCTCCTCTCTTTTTTTTAAATTACTGCCATGAAATAACACCTTCAACATCTCATCTTCAATGGCCAATTGATGCCATTTTATGACCATACTTGGGAATACATTCAGTTCAGCTCTTGAAGTATGTATATGCTTTATAACTTATTACAAAAAATAAGATAGTCATATAAAAATGAAAAGAACGTAATTCTACCTAAGTGGTATGATTGAGGGGTATTAGGAAGGACTCACTTTTTCCCTTCAAATGCTGTGTCACACTAGCTATAGTTACTCATTTTATTAATCCAATTAACTTTTTTTCCCCTGCAGTGAGGGACATTTTGGACATTATGCTGGAGGTCCTCTAAAGCAGTAAAAAAAAAAAAAAAAATCTGTAAAGTAGGAGCCGAAAAGCATGGAATCTTGTCCTGACCCTGTCATTCACTGGTTTGGGTTTAACCTCTTCCAGTCTTTAATCTCCTCCTATATAAAATAGAAGCCATAATCCTATCATTCCCCCACTGAGTAATTAAGAAAGCCCTTCCCAAAACAAAATACATGTTAGACATAAGGATTAACTTGTTCAAAACTAATCCCTTTCAAACTGCCCTCCCAAAGAGGAAGTTGCCTCCTGTTAATCTCCATTGAATTGGAGCAACTGTTGCCCAGTGGTTAAGGCAATTACTTTCTCTGTCACATGGCTGATGTAAAGAATCCTGCTATTTGCTTTATCATTTCCTACAACTGCAGCTGCAAAGTTTGAACCACAGCCCCCAATCACACCAGGAGAAGATCTGGTGTCCCCTTTTCCCCCAGCCACAAGCTCTGAGCCTGGGAACAGGACTAGAGCCAAGTTTTCTTCATCTTGACATTAAAATAGCATTAAGGGAGAGGTTAGCACTTCCCTAATGACACAGTTAAAAGAAAACTCACAGTTCAAAGGTTGTGGTGCTCTCTTGGAATGGAGTATCCTAGATCTCTGTGTGCCACCGTAGTTACAATGAGCAAAAGGGACCTGCACACCTGTGACAGGTCTGCAAGTTTCCTCCAGTAAATGCCACTCCAATAAATTTGGTGAGTGTGCCATCTACTAAAATCTTCACAGATGCTGGATTTAAGCCTATGCATGTGTTTATTGGATTTCTTTATCCCCAGATAAGAAAACCTGAACAGAGAATGTGAACTCTGAGCACTTAAAATGGGAAAGCAGGAAAAAAAAAGAAAAAGAGATGAAGCAAAGATGTAAGCCCATATTCCAAACTTCATCTAGATTAAACTTTTGCCTAGGCCAGTGATGGCGAACCTTTTGAGCTCGGCGTGTCAGCATTTTGAAAAACCCTAACTTAACTCTGGTGCCGTGTCACATATAGAAATTTTTTTATATTTGCAACCATAGTAAAACAAAGACTTATATTTTTGATATTTATTTTATATATTTAAATGCCATTTAACAAAGAAAAATCAACCAAAAAAAATGAGTTCGCGTGTCACCTCTGACATACGTGTCATAGGTTCGCCATCACTGGCCTAGGCCAAAGCCTGTATTTCAGAAATTCTTCTCTCTATTCTCCTTTATTCAAAATAGTTAGGCTTTCTGCAAAGCTGAATAAGCCACAAAATCAAAGAACACCAGGAATAAAAAAGATTGCACCCAAAACCTGATTTTCATAAGGCTGCCTATGTTGAAATAGTATCTGTTGGCGCTCCTCTGTTATGAACATTTGAGCACAGCTGATCCTCATTTCCCAGGAAATCCCACAGGTGTGTGTGGAGGGTGGGGATGAAGTGTGGGAAAGGATCACTCAGGAAGTTTGGCAGATTCTACTAGGTGGCCTTAGTACAATCTACAATGTAACTATCAGGGAAATGATCCTATCATTTTTTTTTTTTTTTTATTAAATTTACTAGAGGCCTGATGGACGGGGTCCCTAAGCCTGCCCAGTGATCAGGCCGATCTGTGGGGTGGCCAGCAAGGTGATCGGGGGACCCCTGCAGGCACCCACCTTGGACAGCCTGGGGCCTGCAGGCTGGGGGCAACTCCTGCATTGAGCATCAGCCCCCTGGTGGTCAGTAAGCATCATAGTGACCGGTTGTTCCATCATTTGGTCTATTTGCATATTAGGCTTTTATTATATAGGACTAGAGGCCCAGTGCATGAAATTCATGCATGGGCAGTCCTTCAGCCTGACCTGTGCACTCTTGCAATCTGGGACATCCCTCTCGTAATTTGGGACCACTGGCTTTTAACCACTCACCTGCCTGCGTGCCTGCCTAATCGCCCCTAACCACTCTGCCTGCCTGCCTGATCACCCCTAACCGCTCTGCCTGCCTACTTGATCACCTCTAACTGCTCGCCTGCCTGCCTGATGGCCCCTAACTGCTTGCCTGTTAGGCCCCTAACTGTGCCTGCTCAGTGCACATCATAGCAACTGGTAGTTCCACTGTTCAGTCAATTTGCATATTAACCTTTTATTATATAGGATTGGGGCAACATTGGTTAATAAGATTTTATAGGTTTCAAGCATACATTTCTATGATACATTATCTGTATATCACATTGTGTGCCCACCACCCAAATTCAAATCTTCTTCTGTCACCATATATTTGACCCCCTTTACCCTTTACTATACCCCATCCTTCTTCCCTCTGGGAGCCACCATACTGTTGTCTGTGTCTATGAGTTTTTGTTTGTTTTTCTTGTTTGTTCATGTGTTGCTTTCAGTTTTATATCCCACATATAAGTGAAATCATATAGTTCTCAACTTTTTCTGTCTGACTTATTTTGCTTAGCATGGTATTCTCAAGGTCCATCCATGCTTCTCAAATGGCAGTATTTCATCTTTTCTTATGCCTGAGTACTAATCCATTGTATATATATATCACATCTTTATCCACTCATCTATTGAAGGACACTTCAGTTGTTTCCATGTCTTAGCCACCATGAATAATGATCATTGAAAACTATAATGGTAATCCCTACAAGGAAGGCAGTCAATAGAGAATAAAATGAGCACTCTGGTGTGTTTGATGGTAAAAAATTGTCTTAAGAGGAAGCTTATTAGAGAGTTGTAATGGTTGTGGTCTGTGAGGGCTGAGGAGTGCCCTCCTATTCATACACACACACATACAAACATGTACTTAGCCTGTCACATGACCAAAATCCCACAAACAAAAAACTTTCCTTGGCATTTTGAAATTAGCTCTATTTATAAAGATTAATAAGGGATAGTTAATAAGCTAGCATCATAATAACATAAAATCCTATATAATAAAAGGCTAATATGCAAATCGACCAAATGGCAGAACAACAGGTTGCTATGATGTGCACTGACCACCAGGGGGTAGACGCTCAATGCAGAAGCTGCCCCCTGGTGATCAGTGTGCTCCCACAGGGAGAGCGCCACTCAGCCAGAAGCCAGCAGTGGTGGTGGTAGGAGCCTCTCCCACCTCTGCAGCAGTGCTAAGGATATCTAACTGATGGCTTAGGTCCACTCCATCCCCCAAGGCTCCCAGACTGTGAGAGGGTGCAGGCCAGGCTGAGGGACACCCCCCAAGTGCACAAATTTCATGCACCAGGTCTCTAGTAATAACATAAAATTCCTGAATGGTTTTTAATAATTTACATTTCTATAACATTTTATAATTTGTAAACTGCTTTTGTACATATCATTTTATGCAATTCTCATACCATCCTTGCTATGGAGGTATTATTATTCATATTTTACAGAGCAAGTAACATAGTCTCAGAACTTAAGTCTTTCCCTGAGGAAATGCTCCTCGGGAAGTGGGAGAGCCAAGACCTGTAATCCCAAAGCCTGTGCTTGGTTATGCCCAAACCCGAGCTGGAGCCCAGAAATCTACACCTTTCAATGGTTCCTCCATAAAATTCTGATAATATCAAAGTCTGGAGCCAATGTACCACACCTTCCTACAAAGAGAGAAATCTATATATATAAAAGCCTAAGTGACCGAACAACCAAACGACTGGTCAACCGATCTCTATGATGTGCACTGACCACCACACTCAACACAGGAGCTGCCCTCTGGTGGTCAGTGCACTCCCACAGCAGGAGCGCCACTCAGCTGACTGACGGGTGCCAGCCGTAGGGTTCATGGCTGGCAAGCCTCTCCCACCTCCGCTGCAGCGCTACCAAGTGACGATGGCAGGTGTAGCAGGGCCGGGATGAGAGGGAGCAGTCTGGGCGTGGGCTCCTCCCCAGCCACCCTCCACTTTATGCACTACTACATCCCTAGGGGGATGCTGGACTGCCGGTTTCAGCCCGATCTTCGGCCTATCCTGCAGGGACCGAGCCTCTAGTATACTAATAATGGCCTATAAATGGTCACTTAATATAGCCAAATTGTAACTTGCTTAAAGTCACTCTGTAGTTATTTTCACTCCTGGCTATCTCATGCTCCCTCCTTTATGTCACTTACCTGATATCACTGTTTTGTTCGGTATATTTGTCAGTTCTAGTTGTTTTAGGATTGAATTGCCCATGTTAAATTTTACATCTCATTTTTAAAGTTTATCTTTATTGTTGAAAGCATTACAGATGTCCCCTTTTCTTTCCTCCATTGTACAACTCAAGTTAGCTTTAGCCAGCCACCTATCTGTATTGTATAGACCAATGTTCTTCAGAGTTGGGTGTACCAGGAAACCCAATGAAGGATGCAGAAAGGAAGTATCTGAATTCCTATTTTTATTTTAATTCTAAGAAAGTTTTTGTCAAAATATTTACCAATATTTACTATAGTGATTGATAGTAGTTTGTATACAGTTTAAAAGCAAATAGTCTTATATAATAAGAGAGTGTACTCAACAACTGTATTGTTGGGGTGCCCAATTAAAAACAGAAACCACTGGTCTAGCCTCTTTCCCTATGAGCAGGAAAATGTGCTCACTCTCCTGGGGAAGAATCGGGAGGCAAAATTCTCTTTGTATATGTAATTTCTGTCGTAATCCTCACAGGATGGAAGAAAATGACCTCAGAGCCCGGTAACATTTCTCACACTGTGAGTGAGTTTATTCTCCTGGGCTTCTCTTGCCGCTGGGAAATACAGATCCTCCTCTTTTCCATATTCTTAGTGACTTACATCCTGACCCTCTTTGGAAACATGGCCATCATGTGTGCAGTGCGCTGGGACCACCGGCTCCACACCCCAATGTACATTCTGCTAGCTAACTTCTCCTTCCTGGAGATCTGCTATGTCAACTCTGATGTGCCCAACATGCTGGCCAACTTCCTCTCCCAGACCAAAACCATCTCCTTTGCGCGATGCCTGCTCCAGTTGTACTTCTTCTTCTCATTGGGCACAACCGAATGCTTATTTCTCTCCATCATGGCCTATGACCGGTTCCTGGCCATCTGCCGCCCCCTGCACTACCCCACCATCATGACTATTAAGTTCTGCAGCAGCCTGGTTATTTTTTGCTGGGTTTATGGATTCCTCTGGTTTCTGATTCCGGTGATACTCGTCACACAGCTACCATTTTGTGGCCTGAATGTGATTGATGACTTTCTGTGTGACCTGGGTCCTCTGCTGGCCCTGGCTTCAAGCTGTGCCCCAATTCCAGGGACTGTTCTTATGTGTGGCACCATGAGCTCCCTCCTCATATTTGCCACCTTTTTCTACATTATTGGCTCCTATACCCTGGTGCTGAGGGCCGTAATCCAAGTCCCCTCTGCTGCTGGCCGGAAGAAGGCCTTCTCCACCTGCTCCTCACACCTGGCCGTTGTGTTTTTATTCTATGGTTCTGTGATGATGACATATGTAAGCCCAGGAACAGGACAAGAAGAGAGCATGCAGAAGTTCACAACTTTGTTCTACTCAGTTTTGACCCCTTTTTTCAACCCCATGATCTACAGCCTTCGTAATAAAGAAATGAAGGATGCCCTGAAGAAAGTTCTAAGAGGTTCCTGAAATTGGTCTGTGACTTAGTGACTTATTCCCCAATGAATTCAAACTGTGAGTCTCCTGTCAGTGAACTTAAGAAACTGGAAAATAAGTGTGAACTTTTTGAAGGAGCTATTTCAAAATCCTAAGTGCCAGGACACTAATGAAGTCTTTCCTTGGGCAGAATTAATTGCCTCTTCCATAGTACATTACTTATACTTCTACTTAACATGTCCTTTCTTCTTTCTTGTGTTATAGTTAGCTGTTCACAAATCCATCTCCACATGCCTCCCCATCCTTATTAGACTGTGAATTTCTTAAGAGCAGAGACTATGCTTTATTTATTTCTATATTCCCAGAACCTAGCACAAAAATGTCAATAATGTCAATTTAAATAAAAATTTATATACTATTCATATTTCCTCATTAGACTATCATTCCTGACATTCAGGACAATATATAAAGAAACTATGCGGATGAGAGCATGAGTTTGTGTGTGGGGCGGGGGGGGGAGGTTGGGGGTTAATGGGGGGGATGAGGACACATTTGTAATACCTTAACTAATAATAAAAAAAAAACTATGCAAATTCTGTAACAATCTGTATTTTATATGTCCTATGGATGAAATGAAAAGAACTTTCTTAGAAAAATGTGAGATTGACCTGAATTGGTTGGACTAATCATTACATGATAATCCAATCAATGGAAAAGTCTCACCAGATGAAAATTAATGTCTAAGAAATTACCTGCTTCCTGCCCTTCACCAGTCCCTTTTACCTAATAAGGTAACTACTTTATTTCATTTTCTTCTTACTAACCATACTTCCACTACTGCATATTTTAAAACATATTATGCAACCCTTATCACCGAAATATGGTTTGGGGATCATTAGCCAGGCATCACTAGGAAACATTTATTTATTTTTATTGAAAACTATTTTTCTTTATTTTTTAAATTTTATTTTTCAATTACAGTTTACATTCAAAATTACACAGCATGATCAAGTGAGATCTAGCTCTGGGATAAAATGTGGTTTCAACATATGCAAGTTAATAATTATGATCCTTCACATTGACAAACTGAAGAAGAAAAATCATATAGTCCTCTCAGTAAATGCAGAAAAGTATTTGACAGAAAATTTAATCATGCATGAGTTTTAAAAAACTTCCAACAAATTAGGTATAGCAGAAACATACCTCAACGTAATAAAGGCCATATGAGATAAACCCACAGCTAACATCATACTCAAAGGTGAAAGCTGGGAGCTCTTCCTTTATATTCAGGAACAAGACAAGAGTGTCAATTCAACTCTAAAGGCCCAATGCACAGATTCGTGCACTGGTGGGGTCCCTCGGCCTGGCCTGTGGGCATTGGGCTGAAACCAGCTCTCCGAATCCCCTGAGGGGTCCCAGATTGTGAGAGGGTGGCTCGCAGGTGATGCACCCTGGAATCAGGCTCCCTCCTCTTTGGTTCTGGGTGCATTACCCAAGAACCACAGCTGCCAAGTCACCACAGTTCGGTAGCTCCTGCGTTGTGGTCAGTGGACTTCATAGCTACCAGTCAGAGTGTCTGCCCCCTGGTGGTCATTGCTCATTATAGCTACCGGTCCAACGGTCCCATAGGCATATATATATATATAATTGCTCTGGCTAGGACTATTACTGGAAGTCCTAGCCAGAGCAATTAAACAAGAAGAAGAAATAAAAAGCATCCAAATTTGAAAGAAATAAAACTGTATTGGTTGCAGATGACATGATCTTACAAAAATAAATAAATAAATAATAAATAAATAAATAAATAAATAAATAAATACAATTTTTAAAAACATCCTAAATACTCCACCAAAAAAATTGTTAGAACTAAAAAACTATTTCAATAAGGTTCAGTAATACAAAATCAATATACAAAAATCAGTTGTGTTTTTATACACTAACAGCATACTACCCAAAAAAAGAAATTACAAAACAATCCCATTTACAATAGCATAATAAAAAATACATAGGAGTAAATTTAACCAAGAAAGTGAAAATCTGTACACGAAAAATGATGAAACATTGATGAAAGAAACTGAATAAGAGGCAAAAAATGGAAACGTATCCTGTCTTGGTAGATTGGAAGAATTAATATTATTAAAATGTCTATAACACTCAAAACAATCTATAAATTCAATACAAACTCTATCAAAATTCCAATGGCATTTTTTACAAAAATAGAAAAAATCATTTTAAAATTTGTATTAAAACCATGAAAATCCTGAACAGCCAAAACAATCCTGAGAAAAAAGAACAAAGCTGGGGGGCGGGGGCAGGGTGGAAGAGGTCAATGGGGGGGGCGGGGCGCGGGGACAAAGGGCACATCTATAATACTTTCAACAATAAAGAGAAAAAAATAGAAAAATAACAATAAATTAATTGTCTAGCTAAAAAAAAGAACAAAGCCAAAAGTATCACACATGCTTATATCAAACTCTACTGCAAAGCTACAGCGATCAAAACAGTAGCACTAGCATAAAAACAGACTCGTAACCCAATGTAATAGCATTGAAAGGCCAGATATGTGGTAAACTAATCATGACAAAGATGCAAAGAATACACAATGAAGAAAGAGTAGTCTCTTCAATAAACAGTGTTAAAAAAAACAAATATCAACTTGTAAAAGAATAAAATTGGAATACCTTACATCAAAATTAATTCAAAATAAATTAAAGACTTACATGTAAGGCCTGAAACTATAAACGCCAAGAAAAAAAAAAAATACAAGGAGAAAGCTCCTTGACATGATATCAAAATCACAAGCAACTGCCTGGCCAGTGTGGCTTAGTGTTGAGCATCAGCCCATGAACCATGAGGTCAGGGTTCAATTCCCAGTCAGGCACATGCCCAGATTGCAGGCTCAATCCCCAGTAGGGGGTGTACAGGAGGCAGTCCATCAATGATTCTCTCTCATCATTGATGTTTCTATCTCTCTCTCCTTCTCCCCTCCTCTCTCTGAAATCAATAAAAACATCTTTAAAAAAAAAAAAATAACAAACACAAAAAAAAGATGGAGGTGGGGAAAACTACATCAAACTAAAACATTTCTGTAGAGCAAAGGAAACAAGCAAAATGAAAGGCAACCTCTGCAATGGGAGAATAATTGCAAACCATGTCTAATAAGGGGTTCATTCCAAAGTATATAAAGAAACCCTATAACTCAATAGCAAAGTAAACATATAACCTTATTAAAAACGGGCGAAGGACCTGAAAAGTCACTTTCCAAAGAAGATATGCAAATTGCCAACAGATATAAGGGAAAAAATGCTCATCATCACTAATCATCTGGGAAATGTAAATCAAAACCATAATGAGATATTACCTAACACATGATATAATGGCTTTTGTAAAATAAAATAAAAAAGAGAGAGATAGCAAATGCTAGTAAGAATATGAAGAAGCATGATTTACAATAGACAAGACATGGAAACAACCTACGTGAATAAATGGATAAAGTTGTGGAATACAGATGCAATGAAGTTTTACTCAGATCTAAAAATAGAATGAACTTTTGGCAAGCTGATTTTGCTTGTGTTTGTTTGTTTTCCAACACATGGACTTTAATCAGATTTCACCCATTGTTTTATTTATCTTGTGTAGTAACAATTTTTGAGGGATAGCATTTAGTCCAAGATCACCTGTTACACTTCAGTTTGTCATGTCTCTTTAGCCTGCCTTCATCTGAATCAGTCTTAGTCTTTCTTTATCCTTTAGCTTTGACATTTTGAAAAGATGGGGCCATTTATTTTGTAGAATGTCCCTCAATTTGGTTCATCTGATACTTCAGTAGAGTCAGGTTATGCATAGTTGGCAAGAATACCGCAAAAGTGATGCTGTGTTCTCCTCATTGATCCTATCAGGTGACAGGTGATTGTGACTTGTTCCCATATTGGTGATATTAGCTCCATCACCAAATCCTGGACATGTCCTCCAACTTTCTCTAATGTAAATTACTATTTTCCCATCTGTAATTAACAACTAACCTGTGGGGAGATTATTTGAAGTTATGTGACTATCCTTACAGTACATTACTATAAGGATTGCCAGGTAGTGGTTTTTAAGCTCTATCATCCCTTCTGCATTTATTACTTAACATTTTACTGTAAGGGTCTTTCCTTCTTCCTTACTTATTTGCTTTTGTTAATATGGATCCATGGTTTCTGATTTCATTTAATGGGTTATAACTAATTATGATTATTACTTATTTTGAAGCTCAGATTGCCCCAGATTTGGCCAGTGGGAAGCTCCTTTCAGCTAACTTCTATGACTGTAATTTTTTGAGAAAATTATTACTTCTATCACAAGGTGGTCCAGGCTTACTATCCCAAACATAGCCCTGGACTCAGCCATTTTGCTAAGGTCCCCTTTTCTTTTTCATGAATAGTGATTTGAACCTGAGATCACTAGGTGTGTTCATAGCTACTAAGGTGTCATTGCTCGTCCCTTTAGTGGACAAACTGGGGAAAATAGCCATTTCATATAATTCTTTTCTTTCACCATTTTATATTGATAGCTCCTTCCTCTCACCATGAGAAGTCTGGCTCCTAAGAAAATAAATATACTTACTCCTTTGAACAATTCTATAATGCACATAAACTTGTTTCAGAATTACTATACCCATACCACTATTAACAATAAACATACTGGAAAAAAACCAAGATGGTGGCATAGGTAAACACAGGAGATTGCTGCCTCGCACAACCACTTCAAGAATACAACTAAAAGACAGAACAGACATCATCCAAAACCACAGGAAGGCTGGCTGAGTGGAAATTCTACAACTAGAAGGAAAGAGAAAAGCATACCGAGACTCAGAGGAGGTGCAGTGTGGAAGTACAGAGGTACGGAGGCACATGCAGAGAGGGCTGGTGGTTGAGGACACGGTTGTCTTTTTCAATTGGGAGGGAGTCTCGAGCTCTGGGCTCCAGTTCCAGGCGAGTCTCTGGGGACCCAGACTCATAAGGGAGAAACTGGACTATCTGCCACCGGTGGGA